CAGCCATTAATCAGTTTTTCTGCTTCTCACTCTCATCCCCCCGCCCCACTGACAGCATGAAATATTAACAACCCCTGAGGGGAAAGTGAGTAACCTCTCCTTTTTCAGAATGAATCATAGTGACTCCTGAATCATTTTTCTCTCCGCTCTGCCCTCAGGTGGCCAAGCTGAGGCACCAGTTGCAGAAGCGCTCCCGCCATGCCGCTCCCTCAGCAGGATATGAGCTCCCCCACCACCCCCTGCCAGCAGGTCATGCAGCAGGCATCACTCAGGTAGCCCACTGCTCTTTTGTCTTTTGATGACATGTGAGGGAAAGACACAAAGAACAAAGTCTTCATGACTACCACTGATGCCAGACAGGCTTCCACAGGCAGACTAGGACAAGCTTAGTAACAGAGATATAAAAAACACTGATGCTTTTCTTAGGAGCTGCTGTCGTCAAAGCTCCCGTGTTACTGACACGCTGTCGCAGAAAGACAATTTGAAACCATCATATCATACTGTGCCAAGGGCAACATCTTCACTCAGTTTAAAAATACTTTTTATTAATTTACCATCCTTTAAGGTTTAGGTTATGCCATAAGCTCAATGTTGCTGGGAAAATAAGGCAATGCTTGTTCTGTCTCCGATTTGTATCTAAATGCGCACACACTTGCACAGCTGTTGTGTTCACTGTCGCTGGTTGACATGTAAGCCAACATTAAGCAGGAGGTGTTCAGTGAACACCCAGTAAATATGATGTAGGTTTAACACAGAATATCAAGGGGAGAAACTTCTCTTTCTTTTAGCTTTTGGGGGCATTTGATGACTAGTCATTACAAATATTGGGTGGGGGGAGAAATTTCCATTTTAATCCCAGATTACATGCTCACACTGTACAATTCAAACACAGGCAGTAGAGACCCAGAAACCACACCACAATTTTGGACAAGTGAAGAAACTGTTGTACACAATCAAGCAAGCTGCCTCTGAATTTGACTCGTTTTTCTCCAGACAATGCCCCTGATGCCGCTGAACCGACTCGCCCCGCGGCTGCGACGGAGTGTTGAAGGCCTAAACTTGGAGCTGGAGGAGGCGTTTGTTTCTGAGAAGCCTGACGATCAGCATGAGGTTAGGCCACTGAGCTATGCTTAGAACCAGTGAGGCAGAGGAAAATTTAAGATGAATAAACTTTGTATATTTTACAATTTTGTCGTTATTGTGGTTTACTATTCTTTGGATTTGCATCCTAAGAAATAATGTAAACCATATGGCTGGAGAGGCCATTTGTGTCATTTGTAATTTATAACACCCTGTGCTGAAACTCCCCTCAAGTACCCACAGAGCAATTTGAGCCTCATATCATCAAAGCTTGATTTTAATAATTTTCAGAACTAAAATGTTACTAAATGTTAATCTAATATCTAACCAACTGGAGAGCACATGCTACCAATCATAATAGCAAAATAATTGCTCTTTGATTTCAGCATGTTATTAAGATATATTGCAATAATTATTTTGATAACAGCAGAAACATCCATTCTAGTCTTTTTGAAGTCAACCGTACCTGCTACATGCTAAATTTGGCTACTTGTCCCTCCCAGACAGGAAAGCCTACCACACTCTGCCCTCTATCGTTTTTGTACCTGCTTTGACCATTTTACTTGTTTCCTCCTGAATATTCCAGATTTTGGATATCCCAGATGGCCACAGGGCCCCAGTCCCTGCCCAGAGATGCAGCAGTGGCTCTCAGAGTGAGCCCTCCCCGGGCCCCCTGGATCCTTCCCTCCTCTCTCCTTCTCAGTCCCCCTGTCCTCTAGATCCCTCACTTCTCTCGCCTTCAAATTCCCCTTGTCACCCATCTCTTTTGTCTCCATCACAGTCTCCCTGTGCCATGGGAGAGCAAGGTTAGACAACTCTACATTCTTTATGGTGTGCTTTTAAACTGTACAGTGAGGTATTAAACAGATATGGTGATGTATAATTTTCCTTCTGTATGTGTTTACAATATTCCGTGCAGAGCCGGTGGACTGTGAGACCCTGTGTCCCTCTCCGTCTACGTCACTTCCTTCATTTGCACTGGAGCTTCCTCTGCTGCAGCCCTGCTCCTCCTCTCCCCGTCCCAACAAAACCTACTCCTTCCAGCGCGAACCGCCAGAAGGCTGCGAGCGAGTACGAGTATGCGAGGAGGGAATGTAAGTTAACACTTTTCAGATCAAAACATCAAGCATAGATCATATAATCATGTTAGCATTCCCTAATCTCTATGGCCAAAATCAACCGATAGGAGACCCAAAAGTACCAACAGAGAAAATCATTAGAATTTGTAAATAAAAGATCAGATCAAACCGTCACACAAACGTTAAACTTCTATCTTAACCAGCTTGGCAGAAGGCCATGGTTAATGTGTGAATATATAATTTACACGTACATTTCTGAAACTGCTGCTCATGGGTCTGCAGTTCAATTTTTTCCTGTTTTTCCAGCATGGGGCACATATTGTGATTTAAATCAGAGCAGCCCAAAAAGTTGATTAATAGACTTAATTGCAACTTTTTTGATGATATTTACTAGTTACTAGTCTCTTTGGGTTTTGAATAGTTGGTTGCACAAAAAAACTAAACAATCAATGAATTGATTAATTAAAGTTATGATTGAGACATTAGTCGATAATTAAAATCATTTTTGAAGCCCTTTTTTCTGTAATTGTGTCCATACATCTGCTGTCACAGCATCAGTTAAACCTAAAATAAAAACATTTAATCCTTTTAATTCACGCACGTCTTCTAATATTGATCATCTATCAAGAAGTTACAACTAATTTAATGTTGTGTGCAAATTTGTCTTATCTTAGTAAGAGAATGCTGAAATTCATAGATGCTTTGTCCAGTCATTGCATCAGTGGAAACTCACAAAAAGTGTGTTATCCTTTTAATTCACTCACATGGGTGTGAATTACATGTTTCACTATATTCTGACATTTCATATACTAAACAATTTATTGAAAATAATGTATGAAAATGATTGTTAGTTGAAGACATTGTTATTATGATGTTATAAATATGCTAAACTACATACAAAGCTGTGGCTTTTGACGATCCCGGGGTAAATGTCAACTACTCCCTCGACCTCTGTACCTCCAGGTCTGCCTGTCAGGATGAGCCTCTCCTCCAGCCGTCATGTCCTGACCCCAATAAAGTCAACTTTACCCCTCATGGAGGCTCCGCTTTCTGCCCTGTCAGTATTCTGAAGCCACTCCTGCCCTCCATGGACCTGCTCTTCCGTGGCCTGTCAGTCTCTCCGGTCACTGGCTACCCAGGTCAAGCCTCTCCCACCAGGCACCTGGGCATGCAGTAGGTGGATATCTGAGCAGAGCCTCTCAGGACTAAACCACACTGCCAGAACCTGCTGAAACTGGATATGTTTTAAATGCATGGTGCCAACAGATACCTGTGTAAACGTCACTGCTGTAACATGCCATGATCACTGTGATCAAAATCAGAGACTTTGTGACTAGAAGGATTTCATCATATTTTAGATTAACTTTGGCCTGAAGTTTGTTTGCTTCACTGGTTATTTCCACCTGCAGGATGCTTGAAATCAGCTGATATTTACCTCATCAGCACTTCAGTTGTCGTAGTATTCCCTCAAATGGGCTGTGGATTACGATACAGGACTGAATTTCTGGAAATGTTGGGAAAAGCTGGAAAAGTTTTACGGTTCTTGATTTTTGACATTATTCTTTTGGTTAAAACTGAATATTCTTTTATTAATGCAGTTCAGACAAAGACTGCAGTCTGCTAGGGACGTTTTCATTTTTTAAGTGTCAAAATAAGTGAATTCAGCACTTAGAACATGAGTATTACTTTCTTACTATCCTTTTACTATTGATTAATATCCTAGTAAAGCATTTTTAAGTTTAGATGAACTTTCATCTTCATTTGAGAGATTTAATTGATAAAAAACAAAGTACTTGATGGGTTTGTTCTGAAATTTCATAAGATCTGTCGGCTGAATGTTTGGCCTATAGTTTCTGGTGGCCTACTTTTCTACAAATGTATTTCCTAGGAATATATGTATTTTTGTATGTTTGTAAGGAGTTATGAAGCTGGCGATACTGTTTTTGTATTCACTGAAAACTTTGGTGATTTATAAGCAGGAATAGATGTTTTATTAGCTTTACATGCCTACAGCGGGCTTTGTTTTAACCAAACTGTTGCAATTTTGTCAACATTTTAAGAATGTGTCTGGGTCACACATTGAGCCTCCTTGGACCATGTGGTCCTGTCCAGAAAGCGTTAATGTTTCAATATTCACTTCGATATGCTCAAGTTAATGTTTAACTAGACAAAACAGTATTTGTCCTCATGATCCTGACTGATTAAAAAAACATGCCTTATAGTGACAGTAATAAGCGGATGGTAATGAAAATTCATAATTTGTCAGCCCTGTGTTGTCTCAGACCTGAGTATGCACCCTTTTTTCATACTTTATTGGGTGATGACAGTTAAAAATGTTCAGTGTGCTGTTGCCATTTTAAAGAAAATAAAGTTAGCCTAATTATCAGGGCGTTCAAATACCTTCTGTAACACCTATCATACCTGTGGGTTCTCTCATGTTGTGGTTGCTTAAATTACACGTGGATTTACGTTTTTTTAATACAAGCACCACCTTGTTTTTTAACCCACATCTGCGTTGTGATTGGCCGAGAGGGGATCTATTGCCTGACACGGACCAATTAATTGAATCCACATCCCAGGACGACAAAAAGGCACGCGACTTTTTCAAGGAAGGACCTCATTTTTTTTTTTTTATAGTAGCTCTCACAACTGCCAGATGACACAAGACGGCAATTTCTAGTAAATTATAGCAGGAAAAAAAAAATCACCTTTCTTGTAGCGTTTTTGACACTGAGTCGACGCGGTTACACTAAACACATAAGCATGCATTGTGTTCAAGATTTAATTTATTAAAGTAAATATTTTTATTCATGCATTGCTTTTGACACCATTGTGGTCCTTCTAGGAAACCCGTTTACGCGACCGCTTTTTTGCCCCAATAAATAGCGACTTTTCTGTAAGAAAGCACGAACTGTGCTCGCCTGACGGTTTACTTACTTATTTTCCCTTACCCAAGTGGGAATGGGATGTTTTTGATTTTACATTTGTCCTGGTAGAAGAAATTTAGTCCTCAGAATGATACAAAATACACAAATGACATGATATCTGACTGTCTGTGCAGCCACAGAGAAGGTACCGTTAGCAAGAGTTGGAAGATTAGTGCACAGGACGGTTTGACGGTATTTATCATCAGGACCTTTAACTACCACAGCTGAGGTCAAAACGCTATAGTGGAGCGGGACGTCGGTGGTGTGCGGGGCTCGGGGAGCGGAGCGGTGTCGGTTAACGTTACCATACCCTGTCTCGGGGACGATAGCATGGCTGCGGGAAAGGGAGCGGGGAAGCCCACCTCGCCATGGGACAATATGAAGATACGGTTCATCGTTTGCTTCCTCGGAGTTTTCGTGTGCTACTTTTATTATGGAATATTACAAGAGACGATGTAAGTGACGGTTACAGATCTCGTTATGTTCTGCGCCAAATTCCATTCAAAAATCATCCAGTTTTACTGTTGACAGTTCCCGCAACAATACGAGCTTAATTGTTGGGATAGTTATAATGTTACGTAATCCACAACAAAAACTATCATGTGCTTGTCTGTTTAAACAATTCGTTATGCAATTTCATGCGAGGTATGTAACGTTACTTGCGTTATGCGAAAGGCAGATCTGCCATTAAATCGTCAGATTTTTGAATGGAATTTGGCGTGGCCCCTACACCTTTGAGCAGGTGGAATTTCTAGTTCACTAAAGCTACTATGTCATAATCCCTCATAGATTAGCGATGCTTTTGTTATTGGTCTGCAACAAACAAACTTTAAATTATTAAATGTCCATCTGTAAAATAATTCAGTATATGTGTGGGTTTTTTTTTTAGAAAGGGCAAATGAAGTAAGGAGAGCTTGGCCTCTCTTGCATATCACATACTGACTGAGTTGAGGCATGAATCAGCTGGTATGTTGGTTGTCACTAGAGTGGGCAGGGATCATATCTGGTTTCAAAATGATGACAAGAAACTGGCGTCTCACCCAAGCTGCCTGTTCACAAACCTGAATGATTGTATATCATTCAATCATATATTGTGATTAAACAATACTGACATTACTGTTTCCTATGGGTTTTTGGTTTGTATTGCACATTGACACCAACAAGCAAGCAACACTGCTGCTAAAAACTCTTGGTCCCCCTAACAAAATGTCAACACTTCCACCACCCCACTCTGTCAGTTGTAATTGAATACATGTCGTTCTCAGTGGCCTTTTCCCAGCTTGGAAACTCATGAAAGCTCTATACTCTTTAATTAACAGCAGTTGTAGTCTGTTTCAGATTCATTGTCTGTGATATTTTGCACTCAACAGTGTTTCTCTGACTTTTCCAGCACTCGAGGTGATTATGGTCATGGAGACAAAAAGGAGAAGTTCAGATTTGCCCGGACATTGGTCTTGATCCAGTGCATTATCAGCGCTCTGTTTGCTAAGATCTGTGAGTATGTGCTGTATGTAAGAGACACAAAAACTAATAGAAGTGCTTGATACAAAAACAGCCTCCAAAATACATTTCTGAAGTTGTAAATCTGCAAGGCAACACGTGTTTTAAATTAAAGTCTTGTAAACGTATCATATAATGACTTGTTGATGCTTCTTAAATGAAAATCTTCCTCTTTTTTTTTTATCAGTGATTCAGTTTTTTGAGGGCTCCAAGCCGGATCACACCAAAAGCTGGCTCTACGGGCTGTGTTCCCTCTCTTATCTCGGAGCCATGGTGTCTAGTAACTCTGCCCTTCAGTATGTCAACTACCCAACACAGGTGAGTCTGCCATATAGATGGGGAAAGTTAGTTGGTTAACATGATTCTTTTGGATTCATTTGTGCATCAATAATGCTTGGTGCAATCATATCCTATGCTCTGTTTTTGCTCTGATAGGTGTTGGGGAAATCCTGCAAGCCCATACCAGGTAAATCTGATAAAATCACTTTTTGTTAGCCTTCTGCTTCTTGCCTACATATCACCCAAATACCTGCACACAGGGCTGTGCAATAAAACAATAATGATAATTATGGCGATGTAATTTTCCTCCATAACAATATAACAAATGTTCAATAAAGGTGTTGATTTAATTCAGTTGAATCATAAACAAATCAGCACTTACTTTTTCTGAGATATTGATTTTGTTGAGAAAAGGGACTGAAAAAAAGATTTGACTTAATTTTACTGAACTGAAAATTTTACTCATGCATATTTTTTCAACAAATATGCATGAGTAAAATTTTCAGTTCATTTGCATGTTTCAGTGAAACATGCAAATTTCAGGCCTCAGCTGTGATCTATAGCATTATTTACTAACTCAGAAGCTGCCAGGTTTCATAATGTAATGTGCTGACATACATATTTACCATGCTAAATAAACCACGTGTATACGGTACTTGACAAATGGGAGAGCTTCTGATATCTTTCTAAACTGATCAAGGGCACACTGAGTAAGCAAAATCTTTACAAGTTGAGAGCATATATATCAGGTTACGGTATGTTCTGTTTGTATAAGAAGGTTATATCTCACAGCTCCCCTGCCTGGTTATCTCTTGGTACACATACATAAACACACACTTTCACCAGCCATATTTTCTACTCCCAGGGGTGAAGGCCTGACATTGTATACAGGGTAGGATTCGCTCAAGCCCTAGAGATGTCACCCTGGCATCCATGGCTAAAAATCATCCATCATACTCTTGTTGTGTTGTTGCAGTGATGATCCTCGGTGTGACAATACTGAGGAAGAATTACCCACTCGCTAAGTACCTGTGTGTGCTGCTTATTGTGAGTGGTGTAGCTCTTTTTCTCTACAAACCCAACAAGAGCTCAGCTGTTGCAGATGACCATGTTTTTGGGTTTGGAGAGATTCTGTTGGTGAGTTAAAATAACTTTATGTTCCATCCATTTCACTTGTATTTCATTTTTTGTTGCCTATCTCTCCTACTCTACACATCATTACTTTGACATTTCTATGACATTTCATCTCATGGCTTGGTGGTGTGTTTCACTGTGTCATAGCTGGTCTCTCTGACATTGGACGGTTTGACTGGTGTGGCCCAGGACCACATGAGGGCTCGCTTCCAGACGAGTGCCAACCACATGATGCTGAATATCAACATGTGGTCCACTCTGGTGCTGGGACTAGGTGAGTCAACCGTGCTCTCTGCCAAACTCTTGTCTAACCGAATATGCGCCGTGCTGTGCAAGGACCACGGAGGGTTTCATTCAAACCCAAACTACACCAGGCCATTTCTCTGATTAGCACACCTGCAAGCCAGCGAGGAGAAACTAATGAGCAAAATCACCTTGATATGGCTCAGTACTGCCAAAATATAGCAGAATGAAACACTGGTACACTGAAGGTCCTGTTTGAAAGCTTTCTCAGAATAATTCTCAGTGAACACTGAAAGCAAAAGTTTAGATTTTTGTTGGTACATTAATGACCTTTTATAACACTATAATGTTACGAACTCGTTTGTAAATGTAGTATTAACAGCTGATTTATGTAATTGTGGTCGGTGTTCTTTCTTCTATGTCATTTTTAGTTGTGTTGTCAAAATAAATTCTTACATGGACCCCAGGATGAAGAGCTGCTTTGATGCAGTAACTAATTGCAATTCAAATAAGTAAACAAAAACAAAAACTTAACTATATCATTACCAGCTGAGTTGGACACTCTTTATGAAAAGGTGAACACTATTCTCTCGGGAGCCAGAAACTTATTAATTCAGTCAAGGCAAGGCAGTTTTATCTTTATAGATAAGGAATCCTGCACCCCAAAGCCCTCAGTTCTGTGATGAGGTTGCTATAATATGCTGAAAAGTAAGGCACTTAAAATAAAATGCAATATAACAAGGGTCTTTCTAGGGTTAGGCACTAATGGACTGTAAGATAAAGATCAAAAGGTCAAAGCCAGTATGAGCACTGAGAGACTTTTTAAAAATGTTTTTATAACAAACTAATTAACGGTGTTTGCTAACTCTTAGTGAGTACCCATCTCTCCTACACATCTGCTTCCCACTTTCATCAGCTGTGTTATATAAAAAATGTTAAATTTGTTTTTCAAAAGTAATCAATTCTGTTCCAGGCTGTATTAAATGCCTTCAGAACACCTTAGTTTTACTTTGTGAAAACTGCACCTAAAGACACTGTGATAGCTTTGAAGTGCTGGTATTTCCCAAGAGACAAAGGTATTCTTATACCTCCATTCCCACGAATCCGTCACACCCCCACCAAGACTTCATCTAACTGTTGTTACTTTATTACACCACTTGGTGGTGCCGTATGCCCACACTGAACACTGTAATTTGATTTTCTCACCACATCAGTGCCAAGGATAAGCCAGCTAAGGCAGAAAAATGTGACGACATGTTCAGTCACTAAGTTGTTTTTGAAATCACATTAATGTTATTTACTTTTTCTCCGCTTTCTTCCTCTCTGCTCTCAGCGGTTTTGTGGACAGGGGAGGTTTGGGAGTTCCTAAGTTTTACTGAACGCCACCCGAGCATCATCTACAACATTCTTCTGTTTGGACTGACTAGTGCTTTAGGCCAGGTGGGTGGATAAAAGGACATGATGTGGCTAGTGTACTTGTATGAAGTGATGGGTAATGTTCTGTTGCACTTTTGGAAAAAATCCTTTACTTTGAAAGTTTTATAATGAATGCCTACAGATGATGAGCTTCCTGACAGTGTATATCCAAATTACATTCCTACGTATGTTTTTTTAAAATGAATTTACCAGACCTTCATCTTTATGACTGTGGTGTACTTTGGGCCGCTGACCTGCTCCATCGTCACCACCACGAGGAAGTTCTTCACCATCCTCGGCTCCGTTATTCTGTTTGGCAATGTCATGAGTACGATGCAGTGGATTGGCACCATCCTGGTATTCCTCGGTGAGAGTTTATTCTGGTTTAACTCTGTTGCTGCCTCTGGGTTTATTGTCAGTGTCTGGTTTATGTTTTTTTTTTTTTCTGTCCCTCTGTCTATACTCAAATATCCTACATTTATCTCATCAATGCAGAGTATAACTGTGAAATTGAATGCTTGCAAAAACATGGTTGAAGCCTTCAACTATAGCGTGAGACAGTTACTGTATGTATTTGTTATAACAAACAATTAGGTCCAATTAGGGAATACTTAGGCTTCCCACGCAAACCACTTGGTGTACTGGTAAATTATGCATTGAGAATATAGCTGAAGGGGAGAGTAAATTTAACACTGACATAGTTACAGAAGATGCTGATATTTTTTTTCCACATTTTTATTGGTAAAATTGGTAATTCTCCTTAATCACATGTTTGGTTTTCTCACTTTAGGTCTCGGACTTGATGCTAAATTTGGCAAAACCCCAAAGAAGACGACACACTGAGAGAAAGACGGAAACATTGCACATCAAATGAACACACTATATAGCCAGTATCTTATTTTCATAAGACATCCTGTTCAGGCATACTGTATGTGCCTATGATTTAAGCACGGTCAGATTTTGAACTTAACTGTATTTAAAAGAGAGTTCTTTTAGTTTTCAACTCCAGCTTCTGTTTACTGTTGATGTACTGAAAGATTTACTTGGGAGCAAGTCCTGAATGACCACAAGATGCAAAACCTTTGTAGAGGAATTTGAACTGGTTCAGAGACACAGGTGGAAAATACTGTATTTAGACAAATTCTTATGTTTCTGAAACCAGCTCACCTCTCTTGGATGGATATTGAACCAAACAAGACCTAAGACATATTTTTCCAGCGTTAAACTCATGAACTTGCCACCAAATAAGGCTTGGTTTAAAAATAGTTTCTTAAATATGTGTAATTTCTTGGCAAACAATTAGCCAACTATCATGTCATGTATAAGATATAAACGGTTGTATGTAGCCTGTTCTGTTATGTCCAGTCTTACCATTGAATTGTTTTTAATTTTATTTTCTACAAGTTGAAAATAACGTACCATAAAAGGGAAATTGTGATATTTAATGGGGATTTTCTTTTTATTACACAGACTTCAGTGGAGTGGTTCACATCAGTTAGTTGAGATACTCATCTCTGATTGGGTGCTGCTTATTGGAAAAGGATATAAAATAGCCAACAAACAGATAATCATAAAAATCACTACCACCAGCAACTTATGTATCTGTTAGCCAACCTGTTTTTTTTTTTATTTTATTAAAAGGCATATTACTAACTTTGTGTTTTACCACTAATCACTTAATCTATTAACACATTCTGACTATGTTTGTTTAATTAAGTAGAAAATCAGAATCGTTGCTTTCATGGCCAAATATGTCCACACATACAAGGATTTTGATTCAGGTTTGTTTGTTTTGTAATCAATGTTACACAGTTAAAAGAAAGATTTTCAGGAAGATCGAAATAGACAAACAGCCACTAACGTGAAGCTTATACAATATTTTGATCTTTTAATAATGTCTTTTTCGGATGCTTCAAATAATAGTATGTAAACACATTTTGAGTGTGAATGCGCCTAAGCACATTGGATTTATAAAGGTAATATATGTTCATATAGCGTAATTACAGGGAATTTGCCTCTCTGTCATCAACAGAATTAAAGAAAATCAAACTCCTAAATATGAGGTACATCAAAAACCATCTTTTAAGAGAGAAGAAGAGAAAATAGTTCTAAGAAAGGCAGAATAATGATTATAATTCCCCCTACATTTAAGGATTAAAATGTATTTCTTGAGTGCAGTTTAAGCGCCCCCTGCAGTCACATTGTGATGCAGACATTTCACATCCTCACACTGATGCTAGAGACAAGGGCAGTGAACTGTTATTTATCTCCATCATGTCACTTGCATTAATAAATTAAATCGACCTGTTATTTATTTTTCATTAAATGCTGGCATTTTAATTATCTTATGGGAATTAAACCAATATAACATGAGTTAATACTACAACTTCATAATATGGCCAGATAATCACAGTGACTTTTGAAACCGGATTAAATACACACATCACATTATATATTATACACATTTACAGAATAACTTCCACCCGGTGAAGAGAAGAATATCTGTCCAGTGCTGCTGTGTGGCTTGTTTTTGTTTTTATGGACGAAATCTGTTGATTGTAGCGACATTCAAACCGCTTTAGTTTTGCCAGAATAAAATGCGGTGTGGAAATAAAGGTTGAAGCGACACAGCAGCACATTGATGAAACCATGCAAAATCACTCTGCATTTAATACATGCAGTATCACATAAATGTTCTGTATAGTACAAATAATAATAAAAAATTATGTATTTCCGCCACCGTCGGTCAGGCAGTATGTTTAGGACCCTACGTGTGTTTCCTCGGCCCTTTTTTCTCCGCCCGATCTGGCAGATGAAATTGCGCACCGTTTTGGCAAGCCTGTTCGTAATCCGTTTATTTTTGTACAAAGTGGGATAACAACCTTTTCAAACATCAAAATGCTCGCTACAGTCAGCAAACAGCTCAGAAGCCACCCAGCTGTAAGTAGAACCCGGTTATATTAATTAAACAGTCGTTAAAATATCTGAGATATCGTTGTAAACTTGGGTCACCTGTGAATTATTGTGGCTAACTTAGTTTAGCTTAACTAGTTAGCGTTGTTAGCTTTAGCAAGCTAGGACTGTTGAAGACTTAAATTTTTTTTTAAATTGAAGATGCTTGTTTTGTTCTGTAACTATTATAGATTAATATACGGGTTTTCCAAAAACACAGGCGCCGAAACTTTTGGTTGTTGATGCTTTGGAGTCAGTTTCACCCGCAGGACGATAGCAAGAAGCCAAGAAGACGGTCTTCTAAAAATGGCAACTGATGCTACTAGTTAGCAAGTTAGCTGCCAATGTAGCTCATAGTGGAACTACTCACACATGTTATTTTTGTACATCTTGTTATTTGCAGGGCGTAAGTAGTGAATGAAAGAAACTTGTAAATTATAACGTTGGAAAATAGTTGGTTTTAATCTGTCACATCCCAACACATGGCAGCTGTAGTTTATTATTTTAGGATGCTTAACAATATCAGGCAAAGGGACTGCCGGTGAAAACTAGCCTGTGTTTTAATGTTTGGTAAATGTACATTGTGCCTTCTGAAATAAGCAATACATAAATAAAACAAGGGCAGAGTAAATAGAGGGAATGTGTAATGACATTAGTTATATTATAGGTAGGGTTATCAATCGATTATTTTGTCTTGATTAATCGATTAGTTTTGAGGTGAAGAAAATTGTGAAAAAGTTCAGTCAATTACCCAAAGCCCAAGGTGATGTCCTCAGATGTCTTCTTTTGTTCACAACCCAAACATTTCCAGTTTACTGTGATAGAGGAGTGAAGAAACCACAGAATATGCACATTTGGGAAGCTGAAATCAATCAGTTTTTCTAACGAATTACTCAAGACCACGAATTATCAAAAATATTTGGCTATTAATTTAATAGTTGACAAGTAATGTTGCAGCTCTAATCATAGGCAGCGGTCAGTTTAAAGTACAGTGCAGCATGGTGTTTTCAGTATACACAAGCTGTCAGCAGTCTGTATTTACTGACATTATATTTCCTTCAGTTTTGAAGGTTACTTTTTACCTTCCTGTCTGTCACTTACAGCTGATCCCACTTTTTGTCTTCATTGGTGGAGGGGCAACCATGTCCTTGATGTACCTCGCTCGTCTGGGCTTGAGAAACCCTGATGTCTGGTGAGGACTGGAAACCTTCTTGTGTCTTTTTTTTACTTTTGCCCTTTTCCAAAATTGCAAGTGGGTGGGGGTACATGTAATCTGCATCTAATGAGATTTGCAGAAGAGAGGAAAAGAAGATGACAGTTTTGCACCTCAGTTATTGACTGTGTAGCTATTTATATATTTTTCCTCTGCAGCTGGGATCGCAAGAACAACCCAGAGCCCTGGAACAAGATGGCCCCAACCGATCAGTACAAGGTGTGCCTCAGTCACTTATAGGAAATCTTACTAATAATGCTGTGTGCTTGATTTTCTGTGCTGAAGAGTGTAGGTGGTTATGTTAGGGATCATGGTATGGATCTTTGCCAGACTTGTTGCTGAGCCATGGATTATTCTTTCAATGGGATTAATCAAATTACTTCTACAATCTGGTTAACACTGACTTGTAGTTACAAATCTGATGAAGTCATTAACTACTTACACTTGATAATAGTAATTTTAGGGAGTTTCCAGGAACAAGAAGGCAAATAATGCTGAAAAGAGAAGATTTACTTTATTGCAAGAAGATTTTATAAATCATCTTTTGAAATTGAATGATTCTATAACATAAAGGGAATTGTCATTGTGTCATTATACTCTGCCACGCACTGTAAAACATAAACTTTATGATTTGTTTTGAATTCTCAGTTTTACACCGTTAACATGGACTACAGCAAGCTGAAGAAACAGGGGCCTGACTTCTAAAAATCATATCTGCTGAACCAAAACCTCAAAGATGAGCTGATCCGCACAGCCCCATTTTGAATTTCCTCCGGGAACCTAAGGCATGCAGAGGCAAAACCCGCACAATATTCATATTAAGTTTCCTCATTGCAAAGCCGTCTCATTTTCAATGGTTGTCAATAAAGTGATGGAGTCTTTTCTCCTCCATACAGAGAAAAGAACCTGTTTCATTCATTGTTTTTATTTATGGCCACTTCGCATGTCATTGATCTTGGGTCATGTTTTTATTTACATTGTCACTTTAATGCATAACATTTTAACACATATATTGGCATTATCACCCAGACCACTTTCCACACTCTGTTTACAGTTACGTCATGCTCTGCAGTTACTATCTAAGCTTTGCTTTCACCTCATTTCACTTTTGTCCTGCCTTAACCCAGCTACTACTGAATTTTAGGGCACACCATTCTTGGCTGCTATCCAGAGCCTTATCAGGATGGCTGGGCTACTTTAACCTGGTCACATTTGAGCAGTGGGTGCCCTCTGGTGGCAGCTGTGGCATCCAGTCTATGCGTCTATGCCTGTTAGTCATACCAGAATGAATCATTAATTCATGCTGACACTGCAGGTTTAGGAGTTAATAGCTTTATGTCTTTGTGTGATGAAACCTCATCAGTATTTAGTCCTGTTTGAGGCATACCAGTTTCCCAGTGCTACTTCTGCATATGTTTAGAAGCTTTCAGAAGATACTGTAGTTAGACTTTAAAGTGGAGATTAAGACAACATGGTTGTCTAACTGCAAAAGTTTGTTTTAAGCAATAACCTGTTCATGTGTAAGACTGGGCGGTGGGACAAGTGGAGGTGTTTCTCCTTATAGAATGCCATCGCTCTCAGCCAGATGAGCTTGTAAATGTCAACAGGTCGCGCTGTTCCATATGCAGCTTGGAAAAATGCGACAAAGATGAGCAGCCAACGCAGTGAAGAAAATGTCAAGGAGACCTTCATCTTTGAATAGAAGCCCACGTCTAAATCTTGGCACAGCCTCTCCACGGCTGGAGCACTCCACACACTTTTCTCACCTGGGTAAATGAAAATGAACTAATGGCACAGTATGTAACAGTTCATTTTGGAGAAACATTTGAATTGTTTCACCTTGTTGCTTCAAATCACACAGCTCCTCACCCCAAAATACCTACTATCAGTTCAATAGTTAATGGAAATAAGAGAATTTCTCCAGCTCATTTATTTGTTTGCTGTGATATTCAGCTTAATGGAAGGGAAATGAAAGTATGTGACATGCTGTGCGGCTGGATTGCAAACCCTGGTGGCTGAATGATCAAGGGAAAAAACTCAAAATGAATCATTAATTCATGCTGCCACTGTAGGTTTAGGAGTTAATAGCTTTATGTCTTTGTGTAGGATGACATATTTCAATTAACCAAGAACATTATTTCATCTTGAAATGTCAAAAGTTTGGCTTCAGTAACAACTGGTATTCTTGATATAAACAAACTGTTAAATAGCAAAAAAAAAGCATCTGCCTTGGGAGTAAATCCAACCTGTCCATTCACGCTCTGTATAGTGCAGAGGATGTTGACTGAAAATCAGGGCATTTATTTATTTCTAAACCTTACAATGTTTATCATCAGTGATTTTGTAAGACAGTATTGCTAATTCTTAAGAATAAAGGTCTTAAAATGAAGAGTTTTGTTGTCATGATTGTTAAAAATCAATAACATTGTGAGGCACTGTGTTTTATCGGCTAAATGTCAACGCCAGCATGCAAACATGCTTAAGTCCAGCAGGTTTGTGTTTCCTATGTTTAGCATTTTCAGATGGGGCCTTTTGTAGTCCATCCTGCATGAACTTATACAGGTCATAACCACAGAAAGATCGCTATCTTCAGTCATTAAGAGAAAGATTCAAATTTGACACTCAGGAAGGAAATGCCCCTGTCTCGTGGACCCACAGGTTTGTGGAGGGACTTTTTAAAGCCTGGAGCACAAGTATACACCTCACCATAAGTGGCAGTAATCAAAATCTGGGCCAGGTTGGAGGCAAAACAGGGTGAGTGTGACAAGCTGAGAGACAGGTATTTTGCAGCATACTCAACTAAGTCTCACCTCACCATTACAACATCCTTTTGAGCAGGTGGATCACAGACTTCCGACACATTTTCACATTGCAGATGAGTAATCTATATATTTAAAGGTTGTATACAACAAAAATATACAGTCAGTGCAGAGGTACTACAACACCATGCTAAATATAAACCCATGTAGATTTTGACATGTTGAAATGTAGAGGAAAGCATTGGGTTATTGGTATTGACACCACCTTACCAGATATGGATATATATTCTGGTGTGATTTGATGGGAACAATCTAATTTATTAGATGCCTCTTCTCCTATTGACACAAATCAATAACACAAGCACAATCTACTGCTACTGTGGC